TGACAACAGAGAGTATAATTTTAATAAGAATGATGATAATAATCAATTATTTTTTTTATAGTCTTGCTGGTTCTTTTACTATTGTATAAAAATCAAAACTTGCGGCGGAAGAAGGCAATTCTGGAATATGAAAATGACGACCTAGCGGAGCACTTGGCATACTACGACGAAGAAGGTGGTGGGGAGGAGGATCACGCTGGGTATGATATTGGTACGTTGAGTAAGCCCATTGATCAAGTTGAGGGAAGTGTCGGAAGCCTAGAAAGATCTAGAATTCCAGTGTCTGCTGTGCCAGTTGGAAATGCTAAACCAGGTAAAGTAAACGTAGATATGAATAAAAGTTATATGGTAATGGAGGTATTAAATACTGAATCTTAATAAGACAAGCCTAATCAGTCACTCCTTGCAAAAAAATGATATTTTAGTTATTAATTGAGTGGAGTTGAATAGCTAGTGGTTGAAGATGCTTACCTTCTGATCCCAGGGTCCTGGGTTCAAAATATGGTAAGGTTCAACAGTATGTTTGATTAGACATTTTATTATTTTATTTATAAAGATTCGAACCCAAGAACCTCCGATTATTACTGTTCGGATTCTCAACAAAGTTATAAAATCAGGCTATACTTCTCTTGATTTCCCTATAGGATCAATTATTATCACATAAAACGCAATTAATTGGTTATGGTTATAATATTCAGTCTAATATCATGTGGTCACATTGTATCGATTAAATCGCGGTTATTTGAACTTGAAATATGGGTAATCGAATTTAGAAGTAAACGCTCTTCCTCCAAATCTAAGAATCAAAGGTCAAATTGCACGTGTTTTTGTTTCTGTTTCAAAAGACTCCAGCATGATTGACATCTTGTTAATAATTTCAATGGCATAGTTTTTAAACTTGTTGCGTGATTTCTCAATCTATCGTCTGCACTTTATAACAGCCTAATTATTGTACCCGAGCCTGCGTAATTTTCAAAATTGGCAAGCGCAGTTTGAAGAGTTTTTGCAAACCACAAGCTCATGCAGTAATTAAATTCTTAGAAACATTGGCATTACATTTTTTCTTGGCTTCTTTTATCTGGCATTGAATTATGGAGATGAAGAGAGAGTTGTTGAATTGTTGATTAACAAATTTATATTATAGACCCTGCTGGTGGATTGGTAGCGCTTACAAATTATAATATCGGGCCTATTCAAATTATAAATTAATATATATAACCTAGGTGTAAGTTAACATGTGGAAAAAAACGGATATAAGTGTGATATAGGTGTATATGAGCTATTATGATTTTGAAAAGTTGTTATTGTATGTGAATTTTTTTTTTTTTTTTTTTTTTTTTTTTTTTTTTTTTTTTTTTTTTTATTAATTTTCTGAAGAACAGTTAATGTGTGTGGGAGTGAATTCTAATCTGTTGATGGAAATGTAAAATAAACTATGGCCATGGAGGCTGTGTGTGGGGAACACAGTTTATCCGTGGAAATGTTTTATAGGAGGCCTAAATGATAGGCCTATATTATTGTTACTGTGGGATTGTTCCATTGACGCAATTTTCTCAATGGTTTGTACTACATTGTATGTAGTCACAGACAAATATGAAGACAGTGGAACTTTTCGCTAAGCCACCCGCGCTTTGTATATTGTTGCTATGGTTCCACAAAATAGCGCAAATGTACGTAAACACGTGCGTTTGTGGAACGCGCACGTGTTTATAGAACACGCGCGTATTCCTGGCCCATTCCTGTTCTGATTGGTCAGTTGTTTGATTTACACTCTGGAGAAGTCCATTCTGGAAAGTGTTTAATAATTGACAGAAAGTTCATCTTTGCTATTTTCGAAGACCTCGGAATCGTCATTCGCGATCGAATCGCTGACTTTTAAACTGCTGCACCAGAAAAGAAATGCTGTACAGATTGATCTTACCGATTGCTTTACATCATTGTATGTAGTCACAGACAAATATGAAGACAGTGGAACTTTTCGCTAAGCCACCCGCGCTTTGTATATTGTTGCTATGGTTCCACAAAATAGCGCAAATGTACGTAAACACGTGCGTTTGTGGAACGCGCACGTGTTTATAGAACACGCGCGTATTCCTGGCCCATTCCTGTTCTGATTGGTCAGTTGTTTGATTTACACTCTGGAGAAGTCCATTCTGGAAAGTGTTTAATAATTGACAGAAAGTTCATCTTTGCTATTTTCGAAGACCTCGTAATCGTCATTCGCGATCGAATCGCTGACTTTTAAACTGCTGCACCAGAAAAGAAATGCTGTACAATTAAATTATGATTTTAGTTCTGTCTTTAAATTTTGGGGATGAGGCATTTGTTTGGTAGTAAAATCGGGGTTTGTGTCTATTTGAGATGTGCCAGCAGATTGAATCGATCGCAGATTGATCTTACCGATTGCTTTACATCGTTACCCCCGTGTCTAACCTATGTATATGTCGTCTGCATGCGATCCAGAGCATGCAGGCCGCGAGGAAATTTGACATGTTTAGCTAATTTCCGGCCGATGTACATGACCGACGTCGACGATGGCTTGTTTCACTTGGATTCTTGGATTGGAGTTCTGGCTGGAAACAAATTTAACTGCAGTCCTTGTGTGCCAAATAAGGAAGGTTATACCAAGGTTAACCAGTGATTAAAATCGCTCAAGTTCAAGTACAGCTCATGACGACGAAATATTTCAATAATAATTGAAAGTTGTAACACAACCGACACATATCACAACAGAACAGTGGTAAGGATGACGTGAAAATCTGATTAACATTGCAACGAAAATACCGTTTTAATGAAGATGTACTTTATAAGCATATGGATACTTTATTTATGGATGAGACCATGGAGGTATAAAATATTTTTATACCTCCATGATGAGACAAAGCTAAGATGATAATTATGTTAAGCATTAGGCCTAATAGATATCTTGGTACTATTAATGAGGGCGCCGTTGTGAACTTTCTCTGTTATCATGTTCGTCTTGTCTTCTGACGATTTCCGGTCATACTGTGCGCTGAACTTGACACATATAAAGCTTAGCATTTTCACGGATACTATCTGTATAGTAGGCGTATCAACAATTCTAAGGAAATGACACTGGCGCGTAGTCGGATAGGTTAAGCGAAGCAGACTTGTAGTGATTTCTTTTATTAGGGAACTTTTGTGACATCCAGAAACTGCAGTACAGTCGCCGGACTTAATTTACGATTATGCTTTTTTATTTACATGATTATACAATGCTTGTACAGCTGAGTTAATTAATATGTTATTATAAACTCCTAATGATCACGACTTACATCGACAGTCAAGCTGTAGTACTGTGTTTGATCACGTCCAAGGGAACTTACATTGAAACATTTACATTGAACAACAAAGAATTACAAAATAATACATGTGTACTTGTTATGATAAACAAAATAGATGGCATGGAATTCACACGTAAATAGGTTAACATCTAACGACAATACAGTAAAACCTTATGATTCATCCGAAGAAACGGGACGTGCCTAAAAAAATGTCAAAGCAATTGTTCACTACTTAATAAATATTAAACCTATATAATGTTTCTATATTGCTCCCACCTTGACATGCGTGCTGCTGCCTCTGGCAGCGTTCTATACAGTTCCACGCCTATCTTGAGGTGCAGGCTACTGTTTTCACCTCTAACCCTCTTTGGTTAAAATCAATTATGTGACAGGATTGTTTTTTTTTCAGACAGTCCCGCTTTCTTAACAAGACTCAATTTTTGTTTTTAGTAGGCCTGTGCTTGTCTTGTGAAAGGGATTGCTGCTAAAGATGGGTTCACACGAGAGCAATTTAGATGCGTTACGTAAACGCAAGCAAGTCTACTACGCATAATATGCAACAATGTACGTTTCCGGGGTCAATGAAACTTAACCTACCGACCAATCAGAAGAGGTCCAGGAATAAGCGCCCATTTAACAAGCACGTACACATTTTGTCCCACAAACGCATGTGTGGACCTGTGGACCGTACGTAGCAATATTCAAGGGCGGGCGGCGCTTAGCGGAAAGATTGTTGTATTTGCGTCGATGCGTCCAAATTGCTCATTCTGATTCATTTAGCCTTATCAATACTTTACCTATGTGTCTAAAACATTTTTAAAATAGGAATAAAAATAAATCTATTAATAAAGTATTTAATTTGTACAGACCACATTTGACCTTTATTTTGGTGTGTTTAGTAAATAGTAGAGCCCGACCAAACAAGACTCGACAGAACGAATAATTAATTTATATAGGCCAAACATTAAATTAGTCATGTGCAAAGTTTATTAAAGTTTATCAAAGAAACATGTCGAGTTTCTTGTTAGAAATATCAAACAATTCAGAAAATATGTACCGTAATATGCAAATTACTGTATTATCATATTATAGCTTTGATCATTAATTTTATTATAATATCCATTAATACTAGGCCTAATAGGAGTAACTGTATGTTCTTTAGAGAAGGTACGTCTCGCATGGTACTATAGTCCGCTATGTCTGACCTACCCTTGCTAAATGACGACACGCGGCAAATCACTATCATGTGACAAGAATTAACTGAGAAAAAAAAACACCAACGTAGAATTACTAATTGATTAATCGTTATCGATGTCAACATTATGGCCAAACCCACGCCGTCTATTCGAATTAACCACGTAACCATAACCAAAGCGACACTCTCGAATTAAAATTTTGTTGTGCATTTTTTATCTAGGTCAAATGATATTTTAATGTTTAAAATGTTTAATTTTGCTAATCATTATCGTGGTGTTATTTCGAGGCGCGCCTTGACTTACACCAAAGTTTCACGTTGCTTAAATTCACGTGATTTAATGGTTATGGCCAGAAATCATATTTCACTTTCATTAAGCTTTAATAATACATGCGCGGCTTAAAAAATAAAATGTCATTAATTAAACCACAGTTGCCGAACAGCCTTTGACTGAAACATCACTTCATGACTGTGAAACACTTCCGTGAATTCTTTTTTTTCGTATGCATTATATTACATAATGCTTTAATATGTCATGACCTCCGCAAATTATCTAGTTTGACAGGGCCTATACTAATAAGGATCGGTGTTGACTAAAGTGTAGTTATGCGTAAGTGGCGAGATATGACTGCATTCACCGACGGAAATGGTCATTTATTAATATCTCGCTTTATTAATTCAATTAGGCTTTGACTAGAGTCACATATTTGCGTTGTTTTGATGTATTCTTCAATTTATCTAGGCATAAGTAGTTCATTAGGGTGGAGGGGTGGGAATGGGGAGGAAAATGCTAATTAAAGGCGGGCCTATTATTATAGCGTCCGTATACGTTATATGAAATACTTTGAATTAGAACACTGAAATGGAAAACAGCAGTCATCCACAATAAAACAATAACAGCATCGTTGTTTCATGTACTGTTACGCCTTCTGAATCCACGTCCTTAGTATAAAGAAAAGGTATTTCCGTGAGAAGGGCATTGACCTTTTTGTCTAAATCCGGGCATTTACTGTGTCGTACGACCGTCGGCTGGCGAATCCAACTCCGCTCCTTATGAGCGTTATACGACGCGACGCCGTCTGTTGGTTGTCGGTGGCAGTCTGAACGGATCGTCATCAAAAACGATTTGTGCGCGCGCGTCGTGGTGTTGCGTTCTCTACAGAATCGCGTCGGCGACGACCGTCGGGGCCAGTCAGTGCCCGACATAAAGTTATGTCGGTAAACACAGCACGAAACTTATTGTAGATCTACTTACCCATTTCTGAGATTGTACTTGATTCTTGTAATGACACACATTTAAAAGTCCCGAATAATAATACAAATATAAATTTAATTGACATGTTTCACGGCGTTTGCTTAAAATTATAACACACACAAGCCTAGTTGTTTCTATTGTATCCGTCGCAGACGACTGAACAGGCCTACTGAATACAAACTTTATTACTTTCGCTTGTTCAGTTTATAAGACGTTATCTAGAGGGCAGTCTACTTCAAACAATCTTGTGATGAATATAAAATGAAGTATCAAATGATACGTTATACATTTGTTTTTTTTTATAAGAACCAGTAAAATTTTGCTCAGGCTCAGTGTTCTTATTTTTTGGCCGATTTCTGGCTCAAAATGTTCTTATTTTGTTCTTATGTTACACACTTTTCAAACATAACAAATTATTATTGTACAGCAGTATCATTGTACTGGAATGTAGGTAAAAAGTGGTCCTGGAAAAAATGGTCCCTGAAAAAAAAGCCCCCTGAAAAAATGACCCAGCAAAAATGGCCCCAAATGACAGGTTGTACACCTACTGTACTGCATTATAGAGGGTATTACATACCTACTGCACACAAGGTAGATATAATTTTTTGTTTTGTTTTGTTTTGTTTTTTTATTTAAAAATCCCATTTTACCTCAGCCTCAATTTGTTCTTATATTGTTCTTAATTTTTAAGCAATTTCAGCCTCAGTGTTCTTATAAAATGTGTTCTTATAAAAAAAAAAGTGTACAACATAAATCAGTTGTAACACATTTACAAATATTTAAATACAAAATTGCTTATAAGTATCTGTACTGTAATACCAGCCAATTTCAGGGTTAAAATGTAGAAGTGACAGTATTAAGCCTGTATGTCTGTTAATTTATTATGTTTTCACGTCTAGCTCATCACATCCTACGTACGTAATATTTAGATTTGTGATAAATAGATTTTTTTAAAGAAAAACATGATAGAACTATAACCTTTATGGTTTCTTATTAAAATGATATTGATATAAGGAGGCACTACGGACGACCAAATCAAAACACTCTATATAGAAGTTCCTCCTGAATAAAGGTACCACAACCAGCTAGAAGACACCGAAAATAGATGAATAAAAATGTCCCGTAAAGAATTACTGGCAAACAGTCTTGAAAAACCTGAAATCAATAATACAAATTAAACTAAGAAAAGTACCGTAACAACAAAATTATATTTAAATAATTTCATCTGCTTTAATAATAGGCCTATTATGTACAGTATTATAAAGAAAAATAATAGTAGTAGTAATAAACAACTTTAAACGTAAACATAAGGGATAAAAAGTCATGGAAAGTAATGATTTCTCTTTACATTGATTATTAAAATAGTACGTACAGCATTGTGTTAGTTAAAATCGGTTTCCGAATATAATACATGATATTTGTGATGGCATTTAATTTATTTTACAGAGCGATGCTTTCCTAAATAATAAACATCTAAAAGCTTTTCTCGTTTTTAGCTCCGATGCTGAGCTCTCTATGAATACTATGCTGAATCATGGAGAAATTAATTCTTCCAAGGCTGAATTGACTGTGTGCTTTTTTGCAGATTGACTGCTTTTTTTACAGCTCGAGTGGGTTCCAGCAGGTAGTTGCTAAATACAACAGGTTCAGCCGAGGGGGCGTGACATCGTAATTTCAGCTTTAGTTCGTCTTTCAGTTACAGTTCGTCCTCAACAGGCCTGGGTGGGCCCTGTATTTGATCACACAGCATAGCAAAACACAGCCACTCCATGTTATAACCAATGTTACCAATGTTTTATTTAGCAACTACCCTCAGTTTTACAATACAAGCGTCCAAACTGTATTTAGCAAAAAAAAAAAGGGGGGGGGGCGCCAAAGTAAAGATGGACGACCAGCCAAGGTACGAAACACCAAGGGCATGGGCGGATGCAGCCTGCCAGAAAAATAGGGGGGGGGGCATACGCGCCACCCCTCCCCCACCCAAATCCGCCACTGGAAATAGGCCTAGGCCCTAGGTTTAGGTAGGCCTACTTTGTTTCATGTTAATTAGAGACAACAGGATTATACAATTTCATAGAGTATATTTTTTAAATTACACGATTAAACCAGGTACTGTACTTAAAACCATTAAGGAAGCAAAACTTACACGGCAAAAGTGTCAAAGGTTGTCTACACAAAAACTGCAAGAATAAGTCTACTGAAGGGGTGTCGTCAATGTTGATTTGCACACATATCAGTGTACTGTGGTCACTGTGCATGGGTTGTCTGACAGCACATACCTGCTGACCTCACACAAAGGTTTCCATGCTGGTGCATCTGCGCTTAAACTGTCTTTGTAGCTATGCATTGCGCGATATGACATAGAATCAAACTTTCTATGGAATTGTGTATCCATTCAATTATCTAAAAAAAAACAAAAATTTTTTTTTTTGTTATATGGGGGGGGGGGGCGTCGCAGGCTCCCCCACCCCTAAATCCGCCCATGTAGAGGGGAGCAAACGATTTTATAGAGCCGCGTTTCTAATACTGTAATAGTAATACAGTATACCGGTAGGGTATTAGCTTACATTATTCTTTTTATACATCATCATTTATTCATTCAGGGGTGACACCAGTATTTGCCCGACAGGGGGGGGGGGAGGGGGGGGGGGGGGGGGGGGAGGAAGGCCTATGCCCCGACGAGGGGTCAGTTTTTCCCGAAGAAAGCAAAGTGGGCGTGGTCGAGCTTCGATTAAAAGGCTCCGAAACTTTTGACCATTACGTGTAATTTTTTTTCTTCCCGACGAAATGTCCTTTTTCTCCCCGATAGGGGTGGGGGTGGATGGTTAGTTCTCCCTGACGGGGGCCCTGCCGCCAACCCTGTAATCATTAGTAGTAATCATCATAATTTTTCTCTTTCATTCCAATTTTAAATTAGAAAATATAAATAATTTGAATTTAAGCTTTCTAAAATTGTTAGTTTGTCGAAGAGAGATTTTTTAATTGTTTAGTTTTGTTCAAGAACATAAATAATATAAATTAAAAGTAAGATAAGTAAAATACTTCATCAATTCGGTGGCTTAAGATCAAGAATTTAGAACAATAATGACTCAATGAAAGTCTGTTTTGTATTTAATTCAAATGCGTCACACGTTAACTTAAGAACCCACTAACTTTTGAAATAAATGCAGTAGGTATACAATTATATCGAGAACTAGAACGACCAACCCCCCCCCCCTCCCCCCTCCACATTAGTAAAAAGTAAAAAAAAAAAGGGGGGGGGGGTTGTGAAAAAGGGAAAGGATGAACGAAAGAGAAAAAATCCCGACCGGCCAAAACGCCTCAGAGGTTATTTTATTTTCGGGTGTCTAGAAAACCAAAATAACGCTGGGGCATACCCCCGGACACCCTAGGCCTGGTGGTGATAGGCCTATGTCCATCGGCCCCATTTTCGCCACCTCCACTTTCGGACATCTCTCGCAATACGTCACAGATTAGCAAATCATTACTGTCCGAAACTAAAATTTCCTCATTGAGCCGCAACGCCAACCCTATTTACAACTTTTATATCAATAATTACAACAAAACGGAATATTGTAGTGCTATTTATTATATTTTATTAAAGACAGAACAAACATTTAATATTTTATCAAATTAAACGTATTCTAATAAACAGTAACATAGACATAACTAACAAACGGTAAATGTTGAATTCCAAATACGCCATCTATGGTTAAATTATTAAATGTAACTGCTAATCTTAAAACTAAACCTCTCTTACATAAAATCAGGCAGATGGTACAGGGGTTAATATTCTTGGAGCAACGTAAACAAAGGTACATTACATTCAAATACAGAATTTAAAAACTTTTTTTTATAAAATATTAAAATATTTTTTGCTTATTGATGAACCTGATATATATAATATATATATAATATATATATATACGATATATATATATATATATATATATATATATATATATGAATTTAATTCATATATTTTTTAATTTCTTTGTTAAAATAGTTTGAAACCCACTTTGCATTCTATCTATACGAAGTTGAAATTATAAGTGAATAATTCTCTAGATGCGGACGTTTTATACAAGTTAACTCTGAAGAACGCCCATCCAAATTATGCCCACGGGATTAAGGGGCACTCACCTTGACATCGGGGACGCATGACGCATGTGTGTGACCAAAATCACGTTAAAAAAAGGGTTGTTTTTCCCTAAACAGGCACGTAACTGTACGTTACGTTTTTATGGTCTGAAAAATGGTCAAATTTGTAAAGGGGATCATATTGGAAATTAGGAACGCGTTTAGGGTGTGCGTCGTAAGTGTGACGAGTCTGTCTTTATTTGGAGTTAGACCTATTATTTTGTTATCATGTTTAGGCCTAGGCATGATACATATTGTAGGAATAACGTCTGTTAAGCATAAAGGCAATGCCGTAGCCAGGATTTATTTCATACAGTGTGGGACAATATCAGAGTGGACCTACTTTACGAGTAAATTCAAATAATGCGGACCCATCCTCCTAAAAGTTCTCCCATTTTACGCAAAAATAGAAATCTGGACCCATTTTGTTAAAAAAGTTGACCCATTATACACAAATATGAGAAACCTGGACCCATTTTAAAAATGCGGATCCATTCTTTGTGGACACAATAGAAAAATTGTGTGTGTGACTGTCCCAACTGGCATTGGGTAAAGGCCAGAGTGTTAAGAGCTTTTTTTGCCCTTTCGTGTTTAGGGTTACTTTTTACTCTAAAAATACTTACTTAAGTGGTAAGATTTCAAAATGGGTGCATTTTCTCTGCATTCCAAAACGTTTTTCGAAGCATGGTCACACAAATGGATACCCAGATATTGATTGAGTGGCCTCCGCAGGATTATGCCCAATGAGGTTAAGTCAATGTACCACTGGTCTGCGTAAAAATTAGTCCAATAAACCGTAAGCCGGGCACGTCGCCGACGCGGAATTCACAACGTGACGACGCGCGCGCTGCGAATCGTTTTTAA